TCGATCTTAGAAACAACCAGACACTGGAGTCCTTTAAAACCGATCTAAAGACACATCTATTTCGCAAACACCTTCTGGGATGATTGTCTACCTTATTTTCCAGTTAATGCATAATGGCTGTGTTGCTTGGGGTTGAAATGGCTAGAAAGACTTTGACATTGTATGCTTGTAATTAGTTTTTGTAGTGTTGCGTTTGTTTTAAATGTGGTAAATTATAGATTTGTTTTTTGTTGACTCTGTACCGCGCTTCGAGCTTTTGGGGATGAAGCGTGTTTTTGAAATGAACTTTATTATTATTATTATTATTATATTCACAAAGGACAACATTTATGAACCAATTTTATTGATTGCGATGTAATTGTTACATTATAATTTTTTAATTAATTTTTTTTTCAAAACATTTAATTTCTGATAAAATGCTTAAAATAGTTCATTATTATTACTTTAAATGTATTTGCAATTTATATTAATAATACTTTAACTTTTGCTAAATGATAGCGGATTTATGATATATATTTTTTGCGCATTTCAATTTATTCGATTTACGTGAAATAATAGGAAATAATTATCATTGTTTTTAAGAATCCAAAAGCTTTTAAATCTTTTCGTTTCTCTGGCGTTACGGTCAGCTACGCTCATATATATATATTGTGTTGACAGTTCTTGCTTTGTCCTTAACCCAGTAGCGGAGCCAGGATAAGTTTCACCCAGGGTGGACTAAGTTTTTTTACACTACCTTAAAAATAAAAATTCTGCAGTTGGCAGGAAATTCAACCCCCCATTATAAAAATAATAAGTGCCACCCAGGGTTTACCCACCCCCCCCCCAACGGTATTCTCTTCCTGCGCCTTAGCCGTCCGCTCTACCAAATGTAAAAAATCCTCAATAATTGAAGTACAGTTTAAATAAAACTAGGGTGACATATCTATCAGATATCTTCTGAGTAAATTCATTGTTCTTGATGAAAAAGTAAACAGTCCTACCTTGATTACAAAAGAAAACAAATTTTAATATCTTACCCGTACCAAAGTCTGACTTACTTAGCTGGTAATTTCTTTATTTCCCGAACTCATTTAAAAGGACAAAATGATGTGCATCTCACAGTCAAGGTATAGGTTGATAGCAAAAAATACGAACCTATGTTCATAGTACCCCAACTTACTATGCTGGGACCCACTGTAATAAATACTTGCCACTTTTATTTTTAGTCGTGCTGCTCTCAGATTCTGAAAACAAGAGTTTACATGTCTGCCCCCAGCAGCTCCTTAGATGGTAGTAAAACACTACTGACACGTCATAAAAAAAAATCCTATTTGAGAATAGAGCTGCCAATTCAACAATCGACGTTGATAGATACACTAAGTGTATAGACAACTACTAGAGCTCAGACTTTCTTTATACAGGTGATTACTCGGCCTGATGCCTTCATAAATGAGAATAATGTATTCTCTTTTTACAACAGCAGTTTTCGAACTCTTCAGAAATACACCCATACCAATAGATAATGGACATTATTCTTTATACAATAAAACAGCAAGATCATATTTCACTAAGTGACAATTAAAAAAAAAATATAGCATAAGTGTCAAAGATGTTTCCAGCTATGACATATATGTTATGTTATACGCGGTACAAAGCGCATCCGGAAATTTGATAGAAAGAAATTGAATTGTATTGAATTTGATAGCTTTTTCAAGTATACCTGGCGGTAAATTGATCGAACGGAAATTCGGTCGAAACTTTTTTTCAGTTTTTAGGTTAAAATTTTGCTTCAAATTTCTTTTTGAACGCACTATTTTATTTGACTCTTTAGTATAGTGTGTTCAAAAAGAAATTTGATGAAAATTTAAATATGTGAACTGGAAAAAAAGATTCCACGATTCAACCATAATGAAACTACTTGCTGTTGTTGGTGGTGGTGTTGCTAGTTTTCTTCTATGAGCAATGCAATGAATCAAAACTTGGAGGTACGTTAATGATCATTCAACTGCTTATTAAAATTGTCAACACAATTCAAAATAACTCCCTTCCACATGCTTCAATATCGTAAATATAGATTACTCGATACAGCCCGCCAAACATTGGCAGCAGCGATGCGTGAACTTCCCATCTACTAACGTGACATGAAAAAACATGAACTCAAGAAACGCACATTTAAGAATCACAATTTTCGCTACGGCCCCCCCCCCATGATACGTCACTGCACACCTTTTATTCCACGCCCATGATCTATTTTAAATAAGCAGCGATGCGTGAACTTCCCATCTACTAACGTGACATGAAAAAACATGAACTCAAGAAACGCACATTTAAGAATCACAATTTTCGCTACGGCCCCCCCCCCCCATGATACGTCACTGCACACATTTTATTTCACGCCCATGATCTATTTTAAATATTCTGATGTCCCCAACGATTTCAAAACGAATATTTATTACACCATATTTAAATTGAGACGATTTCATTTTCCAAAAAGAAAATATTACGCACCAAACGCAGTTGCGTTATTAAAAAAAAATAATATACCATTTAGGGTAGTTATCGGGAATTATATTTTGCGCGCCAGTGAACTTATTTTTTTAACTATACTTTCTTTCAAACATATAACATTTGTAATATAATCTCAAAACCAAATACGCTGAATAGAAAGCAGCCAGAAGCAGTAGCAGTCCACGATTCACAGCACAAGCGTAATATATATAAGAGATGGTATAGGGTAAATTGCTAAATACGCACACACCCTGTGCTTGACTGAAAAGATCTGGACGGAGAAAACTAATTGATTTAATTCTTTTAAATTGAGCCAGCTATTTAGTCATTGGACTGAGCTCGATCTCACCTACAAGAACTTTTATATTCAGCTTTTTATTCCACAAACTGGTGTACCTTAGATTTGTTTCAACTTTTATTGCTCATTAGTGAGTGGTTGGTGCTATATAATAATATGCATTACGTATTTTATGTCATTTGTGTGTGAGATTCTTATCCAAAGAATTTACTGCTTCTTTCTCTAGAATCAATCACAATATCAACAGAAATTTAACGTATATACAAAGGAATAAAAGACCTTGTTGAATTTCAAATCATTTATAAAATTGACATCAGTTTTAATCTCCATTAACCTGTGCATAAATACAATGTATCCAAAAAAAATTACGACATTGTTCCAGATTGTTCCTATTAATTGAGTCACATCAATTACAAAATATGTACCTCATAATTGTTTGTTTCGTGCATGAACCCCACAGTAACTAGATATATGAAATGATTTAATAAACTGTTCACCATAACCCTTCCCAACCCCCCCCCCTCAACGCCCCCAGCAACGCCCTCTCCTCAAACCTAACATTGAAGAAAAATGTGGACTGGAAGTAGCCATCTAGCCTCTGACATTACAAAGGAGATCCCATGAAATCTATTGTAAAACTGAGACTGTCACTGCTGGTACGAATGTACACATTGGCTTCACTTTTCTTTTCAATGTCAACACGCCCGGTCATGGCTGCACTTGTGGGGCGTTATGACCAGGTCTGATTTTTGGTTTAACAAATAAACGGGCCCAAGGTGTTTTTGGGGGATGCCTAAGGTGTTTTTGGGGGATGCCTAAGGTGTTTTTGGGGGATGCCTAAGGTGTTTTTGGGGGATGCCTAAGGTGTTTTTGGGGGATGCCTAAGGTGTTTTTGGGGGATGCCTAAGGTGTTTTGGGGGTAGCCCAAGGTGTTTTTGGGGGGGTGCCCAAGGTTGTTTTGGGGGAGTGCCCAAGGTGTTTGGGGGAGAGATGTTTGGGGGGGGGGGGGTGCCCAAATTGTTTTTGCTGTAATCTCATAGGTTTATTATTCCATGATGTCCCCACTTTCCCGCATTCCAAATGACATAATGACGATGGCTAAGAACGAAATCAGTTGTTATTTTACGAAGTAGATAATAATTGGTACCAAAACATGCTAAGGTAATTGATACCACTATTAATGCATATACATTACACAAAAGCTTAATTTCAATGGCTACAACATTATCTGTCATTCATGCAACATGCATACAGAGCTCGCGAAAAATAAATTATAAACTAAAAAGAGGATTGAGACGACCTATCCCAGGGCTGCACAACTCAAAATGTTAGGCGGTCCGAATTACTTTACCAAAAACTTGTGCGGGCCGAAAGAAAATAGGACAGATGGGAAAGCTATTAAGAAATTAATAATAATAAAGAATATTTTTTTACTTCGTGGGCCACAAAGTGGGTGCTGGCGGGCCGCACGCGGCCCGCGGACCGTATGTTGTGCAGGGCTGACCTATCCGATTGTGAATTCACCAAGGATCGCTGCAATACTAAATCTCATTACACATTCATGGAGAACAGGTTTCAAACATAAAAATCATCATATCGAGCATGAATATCATAGCGTTATGGGATCTCAGGCATGAAGTTTGTAACGTCACGAAGTGTGGCGCCCGCTGATTGGATGATCTGTAAGATCACTGAGAAGTGATGCCTGACCTTCTCCCATCTCTCTGGATGTTTTTCGATCTCGAAAAGAAGGTCGACGAGACCGGGGAAGCTGGTCCCCGCGTACGAGTCGTGGGCGTCCTCGGCGAAGATCACGTGTCTGTGGACAAATATGAAAAGTAAAGACATATCATTGACATATGATTCCAATCATTGTGAAGTTTCTGATAGTTAACCCGTTTAGGGAAACGCATTAAACTCTTACCACCTCAAACTAATAAGAGGCTCATTCTGTTTTAAAAAAATATAAATATAAGGCACGAAAAACATTGATGAAGTGTAAAATTACAACATCTTGTAACGTACGAAGTTGCGGCGTAAAAATATTTTTTTTTACAAATCAATATTGAAAACAATCGATTATAAGACGAAATACTTTATGGCATGGTTACTTTTTTAAGGGTCTTTCCGGTAAGCCTGCTGGGTCGAGAAATGCACGCTCCAAAAGCAACATTTGGTCATTGGCTGCACGTATTGCCAGGGGACTGCAAATGAAAAAAAAACAAAAAAAAAACATGTAGCCTCTCTAACTATTCTGAGCTTAACTATGAAATATAATATCATCTTTCAGTAATTGTAAGGTTTGGTGTTAGAGGTGTAAATGGAAATTTTTAAATAAGCGAATATTGGAGTTTATTTTGAAAGTTCTTGTTCACCAGGGAGTGGCAGTCAAGCCTGGGTGACAACACAGAAATAGGTGAAACGAAAATTACTTTATTATGACAAATTCACTACGCATTCTTTGTGGTCTGTTACGGTACGAGGTCCATCATTTGGGATGGGAATAACAAGGTATGCTACCACAGATGGCGATAACAACCAGCGATGCCACTAATCCAGAATCTTCCAATTAAAAAATCATGTCAAATTGTTTGGTCCATAATTTAAGTTGTACGTTCTTATATGGAAATATGTATTATGGTTATCTTTTGAATAAGATAAATCGATGTCATACGTTTTGGAATTTACAATGTCTGGGTACCTGAGCCAAAATAGATGCAGCTACTCCGAGAGCTGTAAGGGGGATCCCCAAAGAGGGTTGCGCGCATGACTGAGGACAGTATAACGTCAAAGATCCAATGTTACGAAAACTAAATGACAAACGCATAAATGGAATGATATTTATGGATTTCAACCTGTGCTTGGACAAGGACATAAGTTAGGGTGGCGACCTGGAATGTGCTGAGTCTACACAGAGTAGGAGCGCTGGGCAGCCTCAGTGACGAAGTTTATATAGAATCACTGTTGCTGCACTGCAAGATATCAGATGGAAAGACTCGGATATACTAAGTACTAAGGAACATACAATATTCTACAGCCTAAAAAAAAACACGTTAGAAACAGGGTTTGCAGTCAAAAGGTGGACACTAAATTTCAGTCAGTGGGCTCAAACCAGCGATTGAAAGACTATGCGTCAGAGCAGGGGTAACCAAACTTTTTTCACCGTGGGCCGTATAACGGATAAAATGACGGGTGCGGGCCTTATAATCATAATACTTGAAAGCCAGAACGAAAGCTTTGAGAAAAAAAGACGAAAAGCTAAGTTTGGTTTTCCCATGGGTGAGTGGCGTAGAATGTACAAAAATGAAAGACAACCAACATATTTATGTGCTAAAAAATGTATCAAAGACGGCGACGTTAACAAAAAGATAGTTAAAACAGAACTAGTGCACGCATATTCGAACCTAATAATCTCATCCAGGACCAGACAATGCCCCCCCCCCCGCACCCCCCCCNTAGCACTGTGTTCTCTCCAAGCTCTTCTGTTCTCCGCACAACTGAACCATGCCGAAAGCTGATGTTTCACCCGTGGCGAGTACATGTGGTAATGCCCCCCCCCCCCGTATCTTTCCAACACTCCCCTTCCTTTCACACATTCACATATTTGTGGTAGTTAGACTATAATATATATTAGCGGGAATAGTCTTAATTGATATTGATGCTTATTTTATGATAATTTAATTAAACTTGTCCTTTAAAAAAAACAACTCAGGTTACCTGGCAGTTTTTCTAAATGATGGCATCATTTGTTAATTAAGTCTTATCGAAATACATCTTGTTTTTATGCTGATCTGACTTCGAGCTTGAACCACGTTAAATGTCAGCGGTAACATCATTTTCACCAGTGACAGACTGAGATAATGTGATCTGTACTTCTACTAAATATAAATTAATATCTATGGCAAATACACGTCTGCAAAACAAGGTGACAGCAGATTGCAATATAAACGTGGGTCGTCTACTTCTAGAAGTTACCTTTTTTTATACCAGCTTAACTCGCTCCCACTAGGCACTGCGATGCGAGAGGTTATTGTATTCATTATAATTTACTGCACGCTTATTTATTGACTATTAAGTTACCGCATTGTGCGATTTTGAGAAGATACTGTACGATTTTAGGAGTTTGGGGGGTAAACTGGTCTGCAATAAACAAGAAAATATAGATACAAATTATTTAAAATTGAAAATTGTAAATTTAAGGCGCATCGCAGCCAGGAGTCCTCCGCACGTGTGAACATCTCTTTAATATTGGAAAAATAATGTTTTAATTCTATTACGTCTCGTGTTCCATACGTTTGATCAAGATAATTCAAGTATCGTTTGCAGGCCGAGTGAACTGACGTCGAGGGCCGGATCCGCCCCGCGGACCGCAGTTTGGTGACCCCCCCCCCCATGCTCCAGATGGATAAGAGGAAATGTGTTTTTAATGACGTTAATTTGCGCACAGACTCCGACCGAAGATGCCTATGGCAGAATTAAGGAAACTTTTGCTATGAAACGCTTGAAAGAAAATTTAATGAGACACCTCACAGAGATACCAAAACAGTTGCTGGAGATTTCACCGGACAAATTGATTTTTTTTTTTGTGGACAATGGAGCACGTCTAATAGACTTCGCTACAGGAAAAAGGAATGACGATCAGCAGCGCAATATTCCAACAAAAACAAGTACGCAAAGCGACGGGGATATGAAAGATGGATTTACACGTAATCAAATAAATCACATACTCCAACATAATAGATGTAAGAAGCTTCAGAAGGGCGGATCACCTACTTGTTGAAATCAAATATAAAGAAAGAATGTGTAACCTCCACAGTAAAAGAAATAAAGCAGTAAAAAAGCGGCTCTCAGGCAATATCACACACATTGTTAAGCATGGATGGAGAACTGCTCGCAGAGAGCAGTACGGTACTCGAGGGATGGGCACAGAGAGCAGTACGGTACTCGAGGGATGGGCACAGAGAGCAGTACGGTACTCGAGGGAGGGGCACAGAGAGCAGTACGGCACTCGAGGGATGGGCACAGAGAGCAGTAGGGTGGTAGAGAGATGGACACAGAGAGCAGCAGGGTACTAGAGAGATGGGCACAGAGAGCAGCACGGTACTAGAGAGATGGGCACAGAGAGCAGTACGGTACTAGAGAGATGGGCACAGAGAGCAAGACGGTACTAAAGAGATGGGCACAGAGAGCAGAACGGTACTCGAGAGATGGGCACAGAGAGCAGCAGGGTACTAGAGAGATGGGCACAACACTTTGAATGGTTGCTAAAGGGCTCACTTGGAGGAGCCAATAGGATTACGAACTAGCACAAGGAGGACCGTGACTATTGGTCAGAGAACCAACACTGAATGAAACAAAATAAATCCCCCAAGAATAGACCTTAACACTACAGAATTGGTAAAACTGGGCGGGAACGAACTGACATGACGTCATATCCTGAATCTGGCAGGAGGAAGGAATGCCAAAAGAGTTATGTACTGCGGTCATAATTCAAATTCACAAGAAAAGAAATTAGCTGAACTGCTCAAATTATAGAGGTATCTCCCTACTTAATGTAGCTTAAAAAATCCTCACAAAAATAATAGCAAGAAAACTGGAAAGATATTGTGAACAGATCATAGGAGACTAACAATGTGAATTCCGAAAAAAATAGATCAAGCACAGGTCATATCTTTCTCTAACAGGGCCTCAGAAAAGGATACTCACTATCATGTATCCTGTTAAACATCAAATTAGAAAACGTTATGAGAAACATGCATGTGAGCACCAGTGGAACAATCTTAAACTGCTTCCAGAGAAGCAACACAGAGTTACAACCGTCAGGAACTTTACATAAGCCAACGTTGCAGTATGTGGACAACATAGCAATGCTGGGCATATACAGCAATGATATGATTATTGCATTCAATGAGCTTGGTGAGGCCTCAGTTTAATCTTGTTTTGAGGCAAATGAAGAAAAGACAAAGTTCATTGTAATGTCAAAAGCGCATACTGACATCAAAATAAGCAAACGCACCAATGAGAACGTGGCTATTTTTAGAAATCAGCACAGTGAAATAATGACAGAGTAAAAGAAAGGATACAAGCAGGTAACCGTTCATGATGCAGCCTACAAAAGCTACTAGGAAGTAAAAACCTTCAAGGAGGACAGAGAAAAAAGCCACCTAAAACACCACCGTAAGAACAGTTGAAGTTTGCGCAAGTGAGACTAGCTCCCGTACCCAGAGAACCTGCTCATTACATTGGAGAGTAATACCCTCAGGAAAATATACGGTCTGGTGATGGACAATGATGGATGGAAAATCCGTACAAACCAAGAGATATTTATCAATTGTTGAAAGACCCACCCACCCGTAGTCGCAACAATTAAAGAAGGTAGACTTCGCTGTAATGGACAACTGGCCCCCTGTGAGGATGACGGATGGTAGAGCAGCAAAATTGATCTACAGACAGAAATCTTGGGGCAGACGGCTCACCGGTCGTCCAAGTCTGAGACGGGTTGAAGATGTAGAGAAGGAGTTACACCAGCTTGGGGTCCTCACATAGAGGTGGAAAGCCATGCATTGGTCAGAGTGAAAGAATTCCGTGGAGGAGGCCAGGGCCCTACAGGGCTGTAGAGCCACTAATGATGATGTATGAATGGAAGGGTGTGGTTCGGCAGGTCGGGGTCCTTCAGAGCTGTAGTGCCACTGATGATGATGATGAATGTCATATGCTTTGCTGATAGTTTTTTTTTTATTTCTCTTGTCAAAACTTATTAAAAAGTATTGAAAACTGTTGTATCTTAAGAATGAAAGACCGATACATAATTCAACATCTTTTGCTGTTTTGATATCAGCTATTTTACTCACTCTTTGGTGTCTATGGTCTTCAGTCGCGTTTCAAAGCTCAGCACATCCTCTGTAAAGCCTTGTATGATCTCTGCGAGACGATCTAATACAAATAAAATTAGATTTAAAAAAAAAACTGTAAACCTTTGGCCTATATTTGCTTTCTGTAAATCAAATCTATTCTTAGCACAGAATACGTTTTCAGTTTTACGACATTGTAAGCTTCAGCCACTGTACCACTCCACTCCACTTCCCTCTCTCTCTTTTACTTCTGTCACAGCCGTTTACCTTATATCTTTAAATAAATATGTTCACATTCGTAGAGCTATTGAATAAGGAAGTTTCTTAGCATATCCAAGGGACTTGTTTTACAAGTTGAAGTTTTAACTCAGACAAAACACAACATACCATAATTGTCTATATCTTTACTTAAGACTGAACCATACTCTCGGTCTAAAATTTTTCTCAAAGAGTCCAATCCGTTGGCGTAATTTAAAAGTTTGAACGGCAACAGAAGGGAGTCCGCCAACGACCTTGACATTTCACCCACAACCTTGGCCATGGCAGCGTGGAACTTTTGAAATGAAATGAAGTAGGAGCACAGTTGCAGCATGTGGTTTGGGGTGGGGGGGGGGATACTACAAAGAAATACAAGAAACCTTTTCTGTTTTTACGTCATTTTCTTCCGCCATGTAACACAATAATAATAAAACACAATCTAAGGTTACGTACTTTAACAGTTGCAGCATGTGGTTTGGGGTGGGGGGGGGGATACTACAAAGAAATACAAGAAACCTTTTCTGTTTTTACGTCATTTTCTTCCACCATGTAACACAATAATAATAAAACACAATCTAAGGTTACGTACTTTACATGGCTCATTGGAGATTTAACACACTGTCCGCCCCCCCCCCCCTCAAAGCCGAATATTATAACACAATCTATTACACCGTGAACTTTTGAAATAATTCGTCTGTTTTAAACTCATTATAAATGTATACTCTCGATAAGAACGTTTAAACTTGTATTTTACTGAAATGCTTCTCCGGCAGTGGCTCTCAACCATCCATGATGTTGCGGTGACCCCCAAATGACAAATTGTTTTCGTTGCTACTTCATCGGTATGTGTTTTCCGATGGTCTTAGGCGACCCCTGTGTAAGGGTCGTTCGACCCTCAAAGGGGTCACAGAGTCGCGACCCACAGGTTGAGAGCCGCTGTTCTTCGGTATACATATAACTGCATCATACTTACTTGAAAATCTCTGTCAAATTGCTCTTTGACAACATCAAAAATTTCATATTCAGTATGGTAGAGAGGATAGGAGGGAACATCGTAGAGTTTCTGTCGAGATAACGATGTGAACCTTTTCAAGTGATTTTTTTTTTAAAGGATGGCATTAGCTTAAGTTGGTAGACGTTGACTAACTTTGGCACTACCAGGCTTTAGACGTTTAAATGACAGATGCAAAGAATGTGTTAATGAAAAATCAAAATAAAAAATCTAGAGAAAGACAAGAGAGGATAAAATAATCCATACGAATAAAGCTAGGCTTCGTTTTATGATAAATTCAGTGCCGTGGGAAGTGGGGAAGGGGGTGTGAAAAAAAAAGGGGGGGGGCAGTCCACGTGGTAAAAATTGTTCCTTTTAGTGAATGGCGACATTTTCGTCGAACTGAAGAGGGGTTTTTTCCGTTTCTTTGAAGGGGGTGGCAAATAAGCTTGGCGCCCGCCCCTGACGTCACTTACCCTAACGACGCCACCTGCTCAGTTTTCTTTGACCAGTGTGCAGAGAAAATAGAGTAAGGATTTTGAGTAAACCATAACGTAAAGCACTCTGCTTTAAATTGAGTTTTCTCCTAATCCCAAATGAAGATGATTCTACGTTTCTTTGTGATAAACTTCATGTTGACATCCCGTGTCTGTATTTGTCAATCCAAATGTTCATATTGACATCCCGTGTCTGTATTTGTCAATCCAAATGTTCATGTTGACATCCCGTGTCTGTATTTGTCAATCCAAATGTTCATGTTGACATCCCGTGTCTGTATTTGTCAATCCAAATGTTCATGTTGACATCCCGTGTCTGTATTTGTCAATCCAAATGTTCATGTTGACATCCCGTGTCTGTATTTGTCAATCCAAATGTTCATGTTGACATCCCGTGTCTGTATTTGTCAATCCAAATGTTCATGTTGACATCCCGTGTCTGTATTTGTCAATCCAAATGTTCATGTTGACATCCCGTGTCTGTATTTGTCAATCCAAATGTTCATGTTGACATCCCGTGTCTGTATTTGTCAATCCAAATGTTCATGTTGACATCCCGTGTCTGTATTTGTCAATCCAAATGTTCATGTTGACATCCCGTGTCTGTATTTGTCAATCCAAATGTTCATGTTGACATCCCGTGTCTGTATTTGTCAATCCAAATGTTCATGTTGACATCCCGTGTCTGTATTTGTCAATCCAAATGTTCATGTTGACATCCCGTGTCTGTATTTGTCAATCCAAATGTTCATGTTGACATCCCGTGTCTGTATTTGTCAATCCAAATGTTCATGTTGACATCCCGTGTCTGTATTTGTCAATCCAAATGTTCATGTTGACATCCCGTGTCTGTATTTGTCAATCCAAATGTTCATGTTGACATCCCGTGTCTGTATTTGTCAATCCAAATGTTCATGTTGACATCCCGTGTCTGTATTTGTCAATCCAAATGTTCATGTTGACATCCCGTGTCTGTATTTGTCAATCCAAATGTTCATGTTGACATCCCGTGTCTGTATTTGTCAATCCAAATGTTCATGTTGACATCCCGTGTCTGTATTTGTCAATCCAAATGTTCATGTTGACATCCCGTGTCTGTATTTGTCAATCCAAATGTTCATGTTGACATCCCGTGTCTGTATTTGTCAATCCAAATGTTCATGTTGACATCCCGTGTCTGTATTTGTCAATCCAAATGTTCATGTTGACATCCCGTGTCTGTATTTGTCAATCCAAATGTTCATGTTGACATCCCGTGTCTGTATTTGTCAATCCAAATGTTCATGTTGACATCCCGTGTCTGTATTTGTCAATCCAAATGTTCATGTTGACATCCCGTGTCTGTATTTGTCAATCCAAATGTTCATGTTGACATCCCGTGTCTGTATTTGTCAATCCAAATGTTCATGTTGACATCCCGTGTCTGTATTTGTCAATCCAAATGTTCATGTTGACATCCCGTGTCTGTATTTGTCAATCCAAATGTTCATGTTGACATCCCGTGTCTGTATTTGTCAATCCAAATGTTCATGTTGACATCCCGTGTCTGTATTTGTCAATCCAAATGTTCATGTTGACATCCCGTGTCTGTATTTGTCAATCCAAATGTTCATGTTGACATCCCGTGTCTGTATTTGTCAATCCAAATGTTCATGTTGACATCCCGTGTCTGTATTTGTCAATCCAAATGTTCATGTTGACATCCCGTGTCTGTATTTGTCAATCCAAATGTTCATGTTGACATCCCGTGTCTGTATTTGTCAATCCAAATGTTCATGTTGACATCCCGTGTCTGTATTTGTCAATCCAAATGTTCATGTTGACATCCCGTGTCTGTATTTGTCAATCCAAATGTTCATGTTGACATCCCGTGTCTGTATTTGTCAATCCAAATGTTCATGTTGACATCCCGTGTCTGTATTTGTCAATCCAAATGTTCATGTTGACATCCCGTGTCTGTATTTGTCAATCCAAATGTTCATGTTGACATCCCGTGTCTGTATTTGTCAATCCAAATGTTCATGTTGACATCCCGTGTCTGTATTTGTCAATCCAAATGTTCATGTTGACATCCCGTGTCTGTATTTGTCAATCCAAATGTTCATGTTGACATCCCGTGTCTGTATNAGAGTGACACCCGCACGGCAGAGAGTGACACCCGCAAGGCAGAGAGTGACACCCGCACGGCAGAGAGTGACACCCGCAGGGCAAAGAGTGACACCCGCATGGCAAAGAGTGACACCCGCATGGCAAAGAGTGACACCCGCAAGGCAGAGAGTGACACCCGCAAGGCAGAGAGTGACACCCGCAAGGCAGAGAGTGACACCTGCAAGGCAGAGAGTGACACCCGCAAGGCAGAGAGTGACACCTGCAAGGCAGAGTGTTTATTTAATTTTAGCAGGTTCAACCTTTGTTGTACATATTGGAACACACTGTAATCTGTAGCAAAACAACTAAAACGGGCGTCTGAAAAAAGTATTGTATCAACGAATTCTTTCTAAAAAATTACCATGAACCTCAGCGGGTAAATGTTTACTGAAAATTTACAAATTAAAAACTTAAATGTTGCACTATGCTTTGGGGTCAGTGAATATAAGATTTAGCATCAACTCATATAATTCAGTAACTCATATAATTCAGTAGCTCATATAATTCAGTGACTCATATAATTCAGTAACTCATATAATTCAGTAACTCAAATAATTCAGTAACTCATATAATTCAGTGGATCATATAATTCATTAACTCATATAATTCAATGACTCATATAATTCAGTGACTCATATAATTCAGTAACTCATATAATTCAGTAACTCATATAATTTAGTAACTCATATAATTCAGTAACTCATAAAATTCAATGACTCATATAGATTAGTAACTAGTATAATTCAGTAAGTCATATAATTCGCTGACTCGTATAATTTAGTAACTCATATAATTCAGTAACTCATATAATTCACTAACTCATATAATTCAGTAACTCATAAAATTCAGAAACTCATATAATTCAATAACTTATACCAGTGAAATACGTTAAAATATACCTTCTTTATTCAACAGATTGATTACATACCGACATTTTGAAATATAACCGTGATTAAAAATAAAATAAATGCACCAATTGAAACCTGGTAAACATTCTTAAATTTGCATTGAACAATAAATTTTGCGCTGTTCGACAGTGATAGATCATATCACTCTATGATAGAGACTATTGTCCCGTTTAATAAGTTTTTGTTTAAATACAACCTACATACCCGGTCATATGAGTATCTTAAATCTATAGCAGTGATGCCAGCCCTCTGGAGTAGTGGAGCGTAGTCACTTCCTGATCCCAGCGTTGTTATCCTGAGAACATTCAGAACCATGAAAGGATGTTCGATTTTATTTGGTTAAAAATAATATTAAAACACTGGGTTTTTTTTCGTTGCTTTAAAGCTGTATAACCCCCCCCCCTTTTTTAAGCCCCCTCACCCCCCACCCCCACCCCCCGATTGCTTTCTTAAAGAAGCTCAATCAACTGTTGCCATGGCGATTTTTAAATGATTATACTCAAAAACTGTGCACATGTTTGCTGCGGGATAAGTTCAAAGACAACTCACGCAGGTACAAGGGTGTTTTCATGATCCGTTTGCGGGGTCACTTGCAGCCAGGTGTCGTACACAGTCTTACGTCCTGCCTGGATCTCAGCAGTGTTGGGGTTTGGTACCTGCGCGTGAAATGAGAGGGTCAGGCGAATTAAATCAACAAAACTGTGACACGTGAATGACTTTCGATGGTACCACGAATTAGTATTTATGAAATGTTGCATTTATTTCAGAGTTAAAATTATGTTTACCATGTGAAACAGTTTACCTTTTTGCTGGCCTCGTATACGATATTGTACATGAGTGGGGTGGATGAGACCCTCAGTGTGTTATTACCTGTGGATAGAAACATACGGTCAGGAGTTGTGTCACAGTGTGACTTACTCTCAACATGGGAAATAACTCTTTGTTTAAACATTATCTCTCCCTAACTTAAGATGTTCTACTCATCTTTCATCATTGAGGAAATCAAAGTTTGTTCCATATTTAAGCTTTTTAAGTATAAAAAATCTTAAACGTCCTGGTATATACGAGACAAAACGAAAATTCAAATGTATACACAAGTTAAAAGCAACTTGTCACATTACATGGGTCACGATCATCACGTCGTGGTCGCTAACAAGCGGGACAAACAAGCGTTAAATTAGAGTTCAACCTTCGTTAAGAAGTCTCCTCCACTAACTCCCAAAAGCAGACAACTCCATTAGAAAAAAATTAAACAGAAATTTGCTGACTAATGAGGTTACTGGGTCATCTGCAAAACAATTACCTTATCAGCTTCATTAAGAGTATGTCCGTTACACTCCTTGCCCCTCTTACTTGAAATGCCCTTCTCATCAGATATTGCAACAAAACTTAATTTAGACCTGCAAACTCACTCGTTCTTTCTTTTTTGTTTTTCAATTCGCTTATTTTTTTAATGAAAAGAAATTATTATCTTAGAAATTACAACCATTAAATGTGTAATGATGTAAAAGGAACAAATCTTCTACTTGTGAAACATTCTGCGTCCCGGTAACATCTAGCTGAACAACGGTACTCCACACTTTGACAAACGTTACACCACACTATGATAAATGTACACCACGCAGTGACAGGTACACCAAAAAAAAAAGGGACATACGGTACACCCAGAGCCGTCACGCGAACCCTGGAGGATTCCAGTTTGGCACACAAAGCATTCCATTTGAAGGTTTACAATTATTTTTTTTTTTCAACTTAACAACTTTCGGGTAACTCAAACATCCAAGGCCCCCCCCCCCTGTTGCCAAGGGGGTTTTAGGACACACCCCACACCCCTGGGCACCCCACAATTCCAGTTTTGCACAAAAAGCATTCCATTTGAAGGTTTACAATTATTTTTTTTTTTCAACTTAACAACTTTCGGGTAACTCAAACATCCAAGGCCCCCCCCCCCTGTTGCCGATGGGGTTTTAGGACACACGCCACAGCCCTGGGTACACCACATCATGACGGTCGGTACGTCACATTATGAAATACCTTGAACAGCAATGTCCACGTTGATGTAAGCAACTGCTCTTTCCCGCAAAAGTGCTACGTATTGCTGCAAAAGAAACATGCAATTTTTATTGTCAAAATACTGAGTCCACCGCACAAATTGATATTTACGATTTCCCATTTGATTTTTCATTCAATTTATTTGCAGTTTTTGGTTTACACTTGTTAAATATTGCATTTTTAGAGAAAATTTTATCAAAATTTAGATTTCAATAAAAAAAGTAGATAAAATGTGTACACAGAATGTGCCCATCAAAAATCTAAGAGTCACAATCATCCTCAGAGCTGTCTCTTTTTAAAATCAGTTGTTTGTTGTTTTTTTTTTCATCAGGTGTACATGTTCAATTCTATCAACCAATAAGAATTTTAAGTAATACTTTTGATTGACATCTTCCTGTCCTGGTTGACCTACCTCAACCCACTCCGTAGATCCAATCAGGCCGTACTCCTCGGCTCCCCACGAGCAGAATACCATCGACCGTCGCGGTCTCCACTTGCCTTCATACAAATGAAATCAATCAGGTTCAAGATTGGTTTAATGTTCAAATGCTTAAATCAGTATTGTTATTCACCAAACAACACCCTTGACGTAAGCGTCATTTAAGAAAGGTCAACTGTCAGTGTTAATCTGCTTCAGAAGGAAGTAATGCGACAAGGTATGTAGAAGCTTCAATCAAAAGAAAGGACAGGCTCAGTTCACGCTATTAAATTCCTTTTAAATTTTCGATCATACATTTGATGCGATATTGGTATGAAGCCTTGACACAACTTTCAAATCACTATTTGATAAAATTCTCATTTGTGTCAAAAAAACAACAAAAAAAAATAAATAAATAAACCACGCACAAAATAGTGTGTTCTTAAACAAATTTGAAGCTAATTTAAAAAGGACTTTGATCGTGTGAACTGACTCTAAGATGTGAACGTTTCTTCTAAGAGCCTTCCTGAGCAGGCAGGACAAATGAAAATACGACAAGACATATAAAATTGTTAAAAACGTAAGTGGTCGCCATTGTCATTGTCGGAAAATGTATTTCTTTTTTCAAAAACAAAAATGCAGGAGGAATCTGGTTAACACGTTTTAAGCTCCCGGGTGTATAGAAGTATTTTCCCCTTAACCAACCAGAGACGTTACACAAAATACTACAGCAGCAACTGTCGTCAAAGGAAGCATTACAGGAATAATTAATTCTCACCTGATTTGACCAGGCCGCCCATAACCCGGGCCAGCTCCATAAGAATCGCTGTACCACTGGACGGGTCAAGGGCTCCGTAAATCCATGCGTCACGATGGTTGCCGAAAAGAACATAACGATCTGAAACGGAGGATAGTTGTTGACTTCGATTAGCCTGTAAGTAAGTAGGTGACAGGGTGTTAGAACATGGTAAGCTCTTTCTTTGTCTCGAAACAGCTCTGCTCCGCCTTTAATTAATTTCTATTTAGAAACATGCTGGGAATGTCTCCACCACAACTATGTGCGTACTGACCCGGCTCGGACGATCCCCTAATGATGCCGAACACGTTCTCGGCTTTAACTCTTTCATTTCTAGACGTGACGTTCAGTTGAATCTTCCTAGAGGAAGAATAATGGCATTGATGATAAATAATGAACATCTATAGAACTGTACTTCTTTGTTTATTTTAGATTAGAAGTCACACTTTTGTAGTTCATCTCTTGTCAGGGGAAAAAGCAGTAAACATTAAAATATTGTAAATGTACATGTACGGTCTGATCAGATTCTAACCTGGAGTACCCATTTTTATTCTTTGAGGTCCGATAATTATATTCTCATCACAAAGTTCATTAGAGATATAACGTTATCATTGAATCATGAGCAGGGGAAAAGGTTATCATTGCATCATACGTATGCATCATAAAATGTTGACAGTAAAATAAAAGATATTCTATTCAGCAAAAATTTACTTCATACGAAATAAAAATTGTAACCAAGCCTATGTCTTTTGACAACACGTTTTGACAACTGATAATGTTTACATAGCATTTGGTAACTTACATCCCAGGTTGTGTGAACCCAGGTCCTGTCCTGTATGTAATGTTTAGGGCCCCTTGCCAACCAGAGGGCACATTTGACCCATTCAAGTACCTTTATAGACAGTAAAAGATAAAACAAAACCATGACATTTTCTTTACTTACGCAATGTTCTTGTATAAAGATTGGATCCTATAAAAGATATAGATCTTCATTATCCAAAGTTGGGTAAAGATGTTCATTATCCGAAGTTGTTAGTACAAGAGTATCAGAGGGTCAACTAACAATACTTAAATGTGTAAATGTATTAAAATTAATTTGTAACTGCTAGACCCTGTACACAGCGATATTTGGTTATGGACTTCTGGACGCCAGCGTACACTTTTCAACTTAAACAACCTTCTAGAGTTTGTTTGTCTTAATTCCAACGGCGAGTTGGTGACTTAATTGCTTAATGAACCGTTTTTACGTTCAGACAACAAGAGGCGCTTGCTCTGATCATGGGCACGATATGTTGGACAGATTTACACGAAATAAAAAAAAATAAAAAAATAAATTTAAAAAAAAATCTTTTTAAAAATCAAACTTAAAATGATGCGCTTCAGACCTGATAATATTGTAGGCGGCACCGTAGCCAATAGGATGAGAGGGAATCTGAGGCATAGGTGGGTCCACCTCATTCTCGGCGTAACGGAATGCTAAATCTGAGAAGAAATTTAGTCGAGGAATTTAACTTAGGGCATTTTCTACAAGGGACTTAATTACTTTTGCTGAATACCTTTGCGTCTAGGCAATGATAATTGCAGTTAAATCAATATTTTTTAAGCGCCATTACAAAATAAAATCTGATCACGAAGTGTGCTTAAAATAAATTGTACGACTCACCAAAAAAAAAAAAAAAAAAAAAAAAAAAAAAAAAAATAAAAAAAAAAAAAAAAAAAAAAAAAAAAAAAATTTTTTAAGCGCCATTACAAAATAAAATCTGATCAAGAAGTGTGCTTAAAATAAATTGTACGACTCACCAAAAAAAAAAAAAAAAAACCCCTGTTAAATATTCTGGAATGGAAATATTGAAGCGTTCAAAAAACGGGAGACGAAAAGACCATTTCATTTTAAGTTTTATCCCCATCTAATTCTTTTTTTAAAATAATTAAAACTAGGAGTTCAACAGCAGCAAAAATCTACTCCAACGCCTCTTTGTTCTCTCCGAAGATCTAGTTACCGTGGACTCTTTTAAAATGTGCGTCCTGCCATCTTTTAAAGTTAAGCAATGACCCCTTTAAAAGTTAAGCAATGACCCCTTTAAAAGTTAAGCAATGACCCCTTTTAAAGTTAAGCAATGACCCTTTAAAAAGTTAAGCAATGACCCCTTTAAAAGTTAAGCAATGACCCCTTTAAAAGTTAAGCAATGACCCCTTTTAAAGTTAAGCAATGACCCCTTAAAAAGTTAAGCAATGAACCCTTTAAAAGTTAAGCAATGACCCCTTTAAAAGTTAAGCAATGACCCCTTTTAAAGTTAAGCAATGACCCTTTAAAAAGTTAAGCAATGACCCCTTTAAAAGTTAAGTACCCCAAGACATGTAACTGACATGTCCTGACTCACCGTTCGCCGGGTACCCAGGTGTGAGAGGGTCTCCCTCACCCAGTAATATGGTGCCCCTCTGCGCCCCGTTGGGTGGCATCCACCAAGTTTCAGGATACACCCTACGGTCCCCGGACTTGAACCCAGTGTAGTCGTCGGGGTCGGTATACATGATGACACCAGTAGCGCCATAGGATGCAGCTATGGCGACCTACAAGAAATCAAACAGTCAGTAACATTATGTTTGTGAGTAGAAAGCTTCTATAATACAATTCGAGAACGACAAATAATCTCTAGTCTCTTTTTTACAGACAGCGATCATCACTTGCATCGTCTCTTGTACAATGTTTTCCAGGCTTGTGTCTTCAATTAAAATAATTATTTCAGAATGCAGCATAACATTCTTAAAAAGACTAGATATTCAGACTGTTTTCATCAATCTATTGCACCTCATAAAGACAGGGGGAGGGCGGGGGTGAAATCGTCCAAATCATTTACAGACATAAAGAGCTTTAATATTTATTTGTTGTTTCAGTTTATCTTTTGAGCGTCTCCTCCCTCATTCCCCTAACTCCCCATCTCACATTCTACGACGCATTGCAACAGACTATAAAGGACTAAGACAAATTTGATAACTAAAGTTTGAAGTAAACCCTGGGGCACATCATAAATAGTCCTAAAGTAATAACAAGGATAATCAAACAATGCTTCTTTGTTTAAAGGGACACATATGCATCCGAGTTGAAACGCAATAAGGAGTTACAAGAAAACTTTCAATCAGTGACGTATTTGCTCGGTCTATGTCAACGCACTTATTGCCATTATGACAAAGTTTGAGTTAGAGCGTATGCTTCTTCTAAAAGTGATTCAAAGGATATCTGTATTTAGCTATGACATGGATCAGACCTGCCCCGCCAGTCAGGCATTTCGTATAAACTCAATTATTTTTTTTCGGGAAGAGATGCTAGAACTCACCTTATCGCCCCTGAACAGCTTGCCATATTTGACCAGGACGAGGTGACCTGTCACATTGATGCCCAGCTTCAGAAGACTCTCGTACTCCAGATGACGTCCGTATCCTACGAAGACAATCTGACCCTGTTAATACAACAACAACAACACATAATGAATCATGAAATGTATTCTGGGATTGCTTTGCATTGCAAATTCATTGTTTTGACTCTGCGTAGGACAAAACACTTTGTAATTTGATACGTAACAATTATGTTGTTCTAAACGCGTCGTCCGAATTTAGCAATTTTCCCCACGTTTATTTCTACACGCCCCCTCACCCCTTCTCCTCTCCTGAAACTAGAACAAAATATAAACGAAACAACAATAAACACAACTATTTTCAATTTATGACTAAAAACTAAACTTCTTTATTTAAAAAACAATAAATCCGTTATATTAACTTCGCTTTTGTGTGTTTAGGGCTAAATCTTCGGGACGGCTAATTGACACACTTAACGTCAACCTTTTCAGCTGAAAATTGGCACAAAGACTCGTTGCACATTCATTCACATTTTCAGTGCACCCTTAACCCATAAAAATCTGTTTTTCAAGGGGAAAGATTTAGAAAATATGATGCCACTTATTTCATGAAATAAAATTCCCGATAACTGCGCTAAGTGAGAAAATATGATGCCACTTATTTCATGAAATAAAATTCCCGATAACTGCGCTAAGTGAGATTCTATATCTTAAAAAAATATCACCAGTGCGTCTGGTGCGCAATGTTTCCTTGCGTTTCTCTGAACTATGATGATGATGATGATGATGAGGAGGAGTGAGTACTTTTATAGAGCCTTTGTCCATGCTATTATAGCATGCTCACAGCGCTATGATGTCCTAACATCTATATAAAGAAAAAAAGTCTTTAAATGGTGCTTAAATAAGTCTGCTGTGTAAAGGCGGGTCGGTCATTAGAATACTAATATAAAATAAAATAATTTAAAAATACATACAAAGGACTTATACGAAGAACTATGGTTTTTAGACGTTGTTTAATTTGTTCTTTGAATAAGATCTGTAAAAAAAAAAAGTTAAACTTAATGATCGATCATGTGTTCTGTGATCATTCAATCAGACCAACCATGTGTTCTATTGATCATTCAATCAGACCAATCATGTGTTCTACTGATCATTCAATCAGACCAATCATGTGTTCTACTGATCATTCAATCAGACCAAACATGTGTTCTACTGATCATTCAATCAGACCAATCATGTGTTCTACTGATCATTCAATCAGACCAATCATGTGTTCTACTGATCATTCAATCAGACCAATCATGTGTTCTACTGATCATTCAATCAGACTAGTTGTATAGAAACTCTATAGAAGTATTATGACCACGGATTTCTACGATCATTTTTACTCCTTGCGTGAATGAAACAGTTTACTCTGCTGTGGATAGAGCGTCACGTTACTCATCTGTGGAATAGAGAGTGCACCTTACTCATCTGTGGGATAGAGAGTGCACCTTACTCATCTGTGGGATAGAGAGTGCACCTTACTCATCTGTGGAATAGAGAGTGCACCTTACTCATCTGTGGAATAGAGAGTGCACCTTACTCATCTGTGGGATAGAGAGTGCACCTTACTCATCTGTGGGATAGAGAGTGCACATTACTCATGTGCGCATAGGGGGGTGCACATTATTTATATGCGGATAGAGGGTCACGTTACTCTTATTGGGGATAGATGGTGCACATTAGTAACATTGGGGATAAATGGTGCACATTAGTAACATTGGGGAGAGATGGTGCACATTAGTAACATTGGGGATAGATGGTGCACATTAGTAACATTGGGGATAGACGGTGCACCTGACTTGACTTGATTAACGAAGGATTTGTAGATGCTTATAATCTGGTTGATTACAATTGACAATATTTCAAACCCAAGCTTCACTGAATTCAGGCTGAGAACCCCTGGCCACCATGAGAAATAAAAGTGTTACCGAAACCACTAACCTCGACGAGGCTGTTGGCAGAGTAGGCATGAAATGGCGGCACGACGTCGGGCAAATGGGATATGTCACTTTCATCTGTGACAGAGTCGTACACCACGTGACCCCTGCCGTCGACGAGGCGAACGCTGTTGGGCGTGGTTTCACTGGGGTACGACAGCAGGACATCGTAGGGCGCGGTCTGCACCAACAGGCCGTTGTCTTTGAAGTGCTGCTGCAGGAGTTTGACCAGCTCAAAATCGTTCGGTCTCCCGGCAATGTGGGGTTTTCTGGTCAACAGTCTAGGTGGCGTAGGGGAGGATTTAAAAAAACCCAATATACATTAGACAAAAATGGCAAAATATATGTCAAGAATATCGAAAGCGGGGCCAACAAGATTTTTCTTGCGATGTTTAAACAGCAGATGTGTTAAAGTTACACAAATTGACCAAGAAGCTTGGAGTCGTTTGGGGCCGTTTGACTATAGCAAACTTATGGTTTGTTTCATTTTGAATCTATCGAATTATAGACTGAGGGCGTGAAGGTAATCAATCTCCAGTAGACCATTCTTTACACATTATGAGTTTGTTGTTCGGATATTTCAGGAATCACGATGCACATAAACTCAGCACTAATTTTGTAACAGGTTATCGAAAGTAAATGGTGTCTAGATATTAAAATTGTTTTCACAAACAGATAAAATTTCTAATATGTCAATAGTAAACTAAATATTAACAGCTTTGCGTCTTAGAAAACATCCGTACCTTTTTTAAACCGCAATTTGAAATTACTATGCTTAGTCGTCCCATACCAGGAATCGGAGTTGGTTGTCTATTTGAACATTTCAGGGCACACCTATTTGCAAGACTTACCTCAGGTTTTCTTCTATCCTGTGGGGATCTATCCCATCCATGATCAGCTGTGAGATGGTCGGGTCAGCCTCGCTGACCAGCCTGTCCAGTACCCGAGATTTGACGTCACCATCATTCTTGTCCTCGGGCTGACATATACCGAACTTTCCGACCAGTAAACCTACGCCCAGTCCAGCTGCGGTCAATACAAAAACAACTGCAGCCAGCTGCACCTTGCTGATCCCCACGCCCCGTTTGTACCCGATAATCTCATCGCGAGATCCACTGAGGTACGTAATGTTTTCCTGTGGCATTCTCTCCGGGGCGTCACGTCAAAAGAGCTGAAGACGTCAAACAATACAGATCATGAGCTAAAAACTGTCGCGGTGAACGCAGTACACAACGGTACTCATTAGTCATAACCATACCGTCTTATCTTAAACCCTCAGCGGTAGATTGGCTCCTTGTGTTTCCACGACACCGTGATGGCAAGTTCTCTAGACGCCGCGGGGAAACGATACAAGCGTATTCACTTAAATGACGTCACTGCAGAGGCGGACCAAGAGGAGGAACGGTTGTTCGTTAGGGGGACTCATAGGACAGGGTAAACCATCTATCTGGACGTTATTCGGACTAGACTGTCTGGGTCAAATGAAAAGATCTCGCCTTTTTCTCCTGCTTATGACTCCGCATTGCCACGTCACAGGTGTTCGCCCGACAAGAATTTAATTTCTATACCTTCGAAAAAAACGTAAAAAGCACGGGGCTATGAATTCTAAATATTTCTGTATTACAGATCCGAGGTGAGGGTACGGTGAGGGTACGGTGAGGGTAAGGTGAGGGGGGGCGGGGGGGGGGGGGGGGGGGGGGGGGGTGGGTGGGGGGGGGAATCTATGACGATTTCGACATTGAGCAAATAGTCACCATTTCTCTGCTCCAGTGCGAATGTGTATTCTTGTTTTATATCGAGTTGAATTTCTACTAATTCACGTGAACTGAAAACAAGGTGAGAAGTGAGTACAGCGAATCTCGGTAACGTTGGCACGTGCCTGTTACTTAAGTAGGTAAGGGTTACTTCATGTAAGGTAACAGAAACGCAACAACTAAATCACAGTGAAAACCTAAAATTACCCATAAGACAAGATTTTATTTAATACTACGATTAGTTGGCGCCTATGTGTGAGTGCTTTGTAAAAAAAAAAAAAAACAGAAACAACAAAATAAGTGTGTGTTATCTCAATGCTCAAATTTCAAAAGTGGTATCCAAAGGCGGTCAAGAGATATGTGAAACAATTGTTATAAAAGTTTACTTGAACATTTAGATAAGAAACTCATCATTTGACAAGTCTAGAAGTATGTACAGTAAAACCTCCGTTTTGACACCCTCTCTTAAAGCCTTCTTCCAACATACGACCGGAAAAAATTCACCGATGCTTTGTACTATATAAACGACCTCTCTTAAACGACTTTCTCTAAAACGGGACTTGCGACCTTCGAATAATTCAATTTCACGACCTGGCACAAGAAAAAAGTCAGCCTCCAAAGCAAGGCTATATTTATGCGCTTGAAGAAAACAGTTTCGCTAACAACTTTGAACAGTACATAACCAGCTCAGTGGCACGGAGAATGAGAAAGATGAAGAACCACCTATCAACTTCTCCACTACCTTGAAATACTCCAACAAGCTGACCAGATTAGCCCTGAGCAGAGGCCTTTCAATCCTTGACGACACCCTTTCTGGTGTTCAAAATTGACAAACTAAAAGAACATGCACGAGTGGGGGGATCATGCAAACAAACAGAAATAACAGCTTTCTTTCCAAAAAAAACCCCAACTATTCAATGATTTATAAAATAAATATATAATAAACTACAAGAACATGCTCGAGTGGGGGGATCATGCAAGCAAACAGAAATAACAGCTTTCTTTCCAAAAAAAAAAAAAAAAAAACCCAACAATTCAAAAATTAAAAAAAAAAAAAAAAAAAAATAAAAAAAAACAAAAAAGACCATGCTCGGGGGGGGGGATCATGAAAGAAAACAAAAAAAACAGCTTTCTTTCAAAAAAAAAAAAAAAAAAAACCCAACTATTCAATGATTTAATAAAATAAATATATAATAAAATGCAACAATATTAATGAGCTTATTTTATACATAAATAGTTATAACTCTAAGCATGTACTCAGCACTTACACACGCTTTTAAACATCTATCACACCAGCATTGATTTGTTTTATATTTTGGAATTAATGAAGAACAGGAAGGTATTGACTTTATTTCTGAAAGAAAGATGGTAGATATTGCCAATACTTAATGGTACGTGTACTTTTTTTGTATCTATTTTACATGTTTACTTAATTTTCTAAATGTCATTTTTCGAAAACGTCCCACCTCTTTTTTAAGACCCCTCTAATTCGAGACCTCGTTTTAATGGCAATTTAAAAGTCGTAAAACGGAGATATACTGTAAATGTATTGTTCAGGTCACTAAAATGTAAATGTACAAAAAAAGGGGGGGGGGATTCAATGAGGTTTTTTTCAGAGTGTAATGGTGGAAATTTACATTTTCCCGTGCGCTGTTTATAGAGACAGTGAGATAGAGACCATAAGATAGAGATACTGAGATAGAGATACTGAGATAGAGATACTGAGATAGAGATAGTGATATAGAAACACTCTGATCGGGACACTGAGGTGGTGTCACTGAGATAGACAGCTATATGAGAGAGGCATAGAGGCGAAAAATAAATATATATTGTAGTAAGCGAAAGGGTACTAAAAATGTAATAGAGATAGAATATCCTTTTTAAAACTACATGAATATAATCAGCAAACGAAGAGAAAGCGAGAGGGAGAGAAACTGAGTGTCAGAGAGCGAGAGAGAGAGAGAGAGATCGAAAAACAGACAGTCAGAGCGAGAGATAGGTAGATAAAGAGAGAGAGAGATAGGTAGGGAGAGAAAGACCGAGTGAGAGAGAGAGAAAATGAGAAAGACTGGATGTGAGAGAGTAAGAGAGAGAGAGAGAGAGAGAGAGAGAGAGAGAGATTATAGAGAAACTGACAGTAAGAGCGAGAGATTGATACGGGAGAGATAGTGAAGTTATAAAGAAAGAATCACGTAGATATCCAATGGTACATTGTCTAGAGATCAATTAATTACCTTAGTAGTAGGCGAAAAATTAATAAAAACTGAATGAAGGTTCATTTGAAATGTAGTACATTGAATGCATAACAGCTGAATTTGAAATGTAATACACTGAATGCACAACAGGTGAATTTGAACTGTAACACTCTGAATTCACAACGGGCACATTTTTCTTGTAGTGAATTCAATTTAAACTGAAGTCATTAGATTTGAGTGTACAGCACTCTCAGAGGTGAGCATGTGAACTATTTATTTTAACGTCTTGATTTTAAATGTTGATCGGTTAAAGAAGACAAATTTTCATTATAAGCAGCAGCTTTTAAAAAAGATATCTATTTTAACGATCTATACCGTGACAAGGTAAGCGATGGAGTCTGGTGCAATGCTCACGTGAATAAGGGACGGTCATTATTTAAATACATAACATGCACCAATTAAACGCGAGCGTAATGCCCTAATTAGTATTCGTCTCAGTTTTCGTGTGACACATTATTACGTTCACAGAGTTTCAAATCAGGCAACGCGTGGCCCTTCCTCGTCCAGGGCTGTCTTAAAACATTCCGCTGTGTAACCCCAACCCCAAGCAAGGTTACTCTACATTTTCTTGTAACCCATCCAGATAGTATTGTGAGCAGATATATATGTATTGTCTTTGGAAATGTTTGTGTGTGTATGTGTTTCTATACGTTTTTGTTGATCTGTATATTTGGCGTGTGTACACACAAAAAATGGGTTCCTTTAGACCTCACTTTGGGAGTCGAACGACCCTTACACAGGGGTCGCCTAAGACCATCGTAAAACACATATTTATGAAGTAGCAACGAAAATAAAGTTATGGCTGGGGGGGGGGGTGCACCACAACATGAGGAACTGTATTAAATGGTTGCATCATTAGGAAGGTTGAGAACCACTGCCATAAATAGAATAATAACTGAATGCGGCTAACTTGTGGATCTCATCAATTTCTGGTTACCATGACAACTTTTTTGTTTTGTTTTAGCTCTTTTTTTTTTACTGAAGTTTACCCAAAAATGTTTGTTGTCCATGTCTTAGACAGTACTGTTATTGCAAGACAGTGGAAAGAAATATGTTTATCAATAGGATCTTGGAAAATAATAATCTCAATATGCTAATGACCTAGTTAACTTGATACGTTATAACATAATGACCTAGTTGACTTTACATGTTACAATAAAAGGACCTAATTAACTTGATACGTTACAATATAATGACCTAGTTAACTTGATACATTATAATATAATGACCTAGTTAACATGATATGTTACAACACAATGACCTAGTTAACTTGATAGGTTATACCCTAATGACCTAGTTAACTTTATATGTTAAAATGTTATGACTAGTAAAATTGATAGCCTGAATCTTGACTGACAAGTAAAGCAAGTATTTAAAAAAATATATATATGAAATCTTTACAAAATAATTAATTGATGATTTTATCTTGAAGAGGACCGAGAACATAAGGTTAATTACTTTTAATCGTATATATTTTAATGTTCACACTTACGGTAATTGTGTGTTAAGTAACTGAACTTTTTAAAATAAATAAATAGTTGCCACCTTATTTCATTTTTAAACTCTGTGTAATATCTGTATGCCAGGCTAGTAATCCTCACGGTGTAATCAAGTGCAATATATTTTGTTTTCTGGACGGCTAACCAGTGCTACACCTGACAAAAATAAATTACCTGATTTGGCCGTCAGGTGTCGAGCAAACGACGATTCCAGCTGTTGTGACATCCAGCTGTCTTCTCTCAAACTGTTGCTTTCTTCTCTCAAAAGGTCTTCTCTCGCAGTAATACATCCACTCCAACTAATTTCACTAAAGCCACTTAGATAGCTACACAGAGTAGGTCTTAAAGCACACCGTCCATAACGCAGCTGTTAACAGTGACATATCAGAGGAACACCACGAGACGACATCTGAACGGCTTGGGGAAAACAAACCACCTGCCAGATGTTTTGCGAGTACGGCGCTCTAGACACGCCCCAGTACGGCGCTCTAACCACGCCCCAGTATGGTGCTCTAACCACGCCCCAGTACGGCGCTCTAACCACGCCCCAGTACGGCGCTCTAACCACGCCCCAGCAAGGTGCTCTAACTACTCCCCAGTACGGTGCTCTAACCACGCCACAGTACGGTGCTCTGACCACGCCCCAGTACGGTGCCTTAACCATGCCCCAGTATGGCTTACACAATTGGTTGTCTTTGCGATCCAATAAAAACTTGTTAAAATTGAATTAGAACTTCAAATTAAAAATAATTTATACTACTGTCTCATGTTGAAAGATTTGCAGGAGGCGAAATGGTTACTTCAAGCTTCGAAAACACAGTGTGAAAAGCGGGACTAATATCTTATGCACGAATACGATTTGATTGCTAGAGTTGAATCTCCTTTATCCTTTATCTCCAGGCTCCAAAATTACGTCCCTACTACGACGACTAAGCCATTGTCAATTATCAGTAAAAGTAAATGTTTTCACAAGCTTTTTTTTTTTAGAAACTATTTACATCTCCTTTCCAGTTCAAATACAAGTGTTCCACCGCGGGGTCAAGCTCATTATTGCTGGTAACCCGGAAGTATAAATACAGACCTTTTTACCCTTACGCTTTCGCCGTAGTAATACGTTTTTAAGCCTAATTTACTACGGCGCTACGACGAGCCTAAAGAAACTACGGTTTTTGGAGATTTCCTTAGTTCGTTTGGTTTAATTTTAATTTTTAAAAAAAATAAACAACTGGGGTGTTTGCAGTAACAAGTTACCTCACTCTTTGTGTTAACACTGTCAGCAATCGAATACGAAACTGTGCTTGGCATTCAGCCTTTGACGTCGCGATCTCAATAAACCAACCAGAATAGTATCTCCTAGAGCAGCGGTTCTCATATTGGGGGTCGAGCGACACTTCCAAGGGGGTCGCCTCAGAGCATCGGAAATCACATAATTATGAAGTAGCAACTGGAATGATTGTAGTGTCACAACAACACGAGGAACTGTATGAAAGGGTCGCGGCATCAGGAATTTTGAGAACCACTGTCTTATGGTATTGGGTCGTTAATGATTAACTGCCAATGTGCTTGCCTAATATCTTTTCTCATCCTAGGGAAACAATTCGCAGGGCTATATCTTGTATGTTTCTTTGTGTTGACTTGCATAAGCAGTGGAGTGGATTTCCTTACACGCCTTGTATTTTGATTGTAAGCCCCCCCCCCCCCCCCCCCCCCCCCCCCCCCCCCCCCCCGCTAATTCACCACACTACGTTTTTTGAGAGCTAAAAACTACGCTGACACTAACCCAGGGGTAAACCCAGGTCTGTAAATGTGTGTGACCTAGTTGGACTGCAGTACGAGTACTAACTTAATTGCTATAGCACCGCTTAGAATAGTGTTAGAGCTGATTGCATATCAATGAGAGCCGTATTTACCTCAGTGAGATTGACCGTAGACCAGAAACACTGTCTGACAGCACATATAAACCATAAACACTACCTGACAGCACATATAGACCATAAACACTGCCTGACAACACATATAGACCATAAACACTGCCTGACAGCACATATAGACAATAAACACTGCCTGACAACACATATAGACCATAAACACTGCCTGACAACACATATAGACCATAAACACTACCTGACAACACATATAGACCATAAACAATGCTTCTTACAGTACACACACTTCTAAAGATAAGATCACCTGGAACTAGTAACACATTTTAAAAGAAAAACAGACAGGAAAGTAAGCAAAGAAATCGTATCGCTTGTGACAAAAAAAACAAGGTCTATATATAGCTTGTTGTCTGTGACGGCCAGCGTCGGCTTTTCAATGACTAAAAATAGCACGCCCCTCTAATTTTGATTACAATAACAACGTGATTTTAAAAATAGAGATATAGCTTTGTACGATGCCCAGGCTCATACATACCTAAGGGGTTCTTTCATTTACTTGAATTCTGTCGTATTTTGATGCCCTGCCTAATACATACCGAAGGTTTCTTTCATTCACTTGACTTCAGGAGTGTTTGATGCCCTGACTTATACATACCTAAGGGGCTCTTTCATTCACTTGACTTCAGGAGTGTTTGATAGCGCAAGGGTAACCAAGGAAAAAAAATTGAGCCACCGATCTTCAACCCCCACCCCAACCAACACTCCACGCGACGTCAAAATTACGCTGGAGTAACAGTTATAAAAAAATAAGATCCATTGCTGGGAATAAAAGTTGAGCTACGTACTTTGAGATTTCCGATAACTCGAACTAGAAACCTACCCCGTGAACATAAATGTATGGAGCACCAGTTGAAATGTGACACGACGATAGACCCCAGGTACTGTAAACCAACATCTACATGTGTTTTAGAAATGTTAACCACGTCTCCGTTATTTAACACTTCAAAAAAAAAAAAAAAAAAGTTTTTTTCACCCCCCCCCCCCCCCCCCGAGCAAAACAAAACAAAAACAAGCTATAATTTCTAAGTATAAATTTTAAAAAAGCTTCACAAAAAACTTTGAATGACAAAGCATTTGAATCTATTCACACTTCACACTATTGTATATGAAATTGTCAAAACGGTTGCTTCTTTTGGTATATTTGCTGGTAGCGCTAATGGACCTTATTGAAAAACTTGGAGAATCAGACTGATACACATGTTATCAGTCTGATTTCTCTTGTGACTTGACTCCTCAAACAACAAACTTTAAACACATCAGCTTACTCCGCCCTGTGTCGCCTTGCCATCATTATTTACAGTCCTGTGTCGTCTTGTCATCATTGTTTCCAGCCCTGTGACGCCTTGTCATCACTGTTTCCAGCCCTGTGACGCCTTGTCATCACTGTTTCCAGCCCTGTGACGCCTCATCATCAATGTTTAGCCATGTGACGCCTCGTCATCACTGTTTCCAGCCCTGTGACGCCTTGTCATCACTGTTTCCATCCCTGTGACGCCTTGCCATCACTGTTTCCAGCCCTGTGACGCCTTGTCCTCACCGTTTCCACCTGTAACAACCATAAACGTGTGTCTCAGAATTGCCCAAACATGCGCCAATCATTTCTGACACATGATAGACTGCCCCGTGCGGTCAACCTCTTACACCAAAAGGCCGACAAGACGAAGGTCGGAGGTGAATCTACTCTGGATGCCTTCATGTCAGTGGCTACAACACTTGACCTGAAGAGTTTTAGAATACGCCTCGTGTGCTGGTATGTGATGAATGGCTTTATAAGACTTTGGAGTGCTTCGTTGGTCTCCAGCTCCCACCTCCCACAAAAGTATATGTGTAACCCCCTCACTTTATAAATTGAAATAACCTGGAGCCGCCGATGACAAACCCATGGCTCGGTTGTGGCGTGGTGTCTTACCTGTGCACATCTCTCTGAACGCTTGTCATTTTTTACCTGAAATATCCACCTGACATCTTCATGATTTATAGAGAATAAATTTGGTTTTTTCTTTGGAATTTTTCGTTTGTTTATTTGTAAAGTTTAGTTGGTTTATTTTCAAAGATATTATCACATTTTGCAAACTGGGTAATTTTAAATGTTGTAAAACATTAAAAACATCGACCATGCCCATTTCTGATGGCAGCTGTGCAGCTTGCGTAAAGGTTGTAAATGTTATGATTCAAAATGCGTGTTTATTATTAAAGTTTTGTGTTGTTGTTTTGCTTTAAAACGATACAATACATACCGTTTGAACCGGATAATAATGAGAAGAGCTGTGACGATGAAACAAACGTGTTCCAACTGAAAGGACATCGTGTTGTCATCTTTAACGAGACGTGCTCCTGTGGTGGTTGTTTCACTTTAGAGATCAACAGGTGTGGGCCGATGGAGAGCAACATGTGTGGGCCGATGGAGAGCAACAGGTGTTGGCCGATGGAGAGCAACAGGTGTGGGCCGATGGAGAGCAACAGGTGTGGGCCGATGGAGAGCAACAGGTGTGGGCCGATGGAGAGCAACAGGTGTGGGCCGATGGAGAGCAACAGGTGTGGGCCGATGGAGAGCAACAGGTGTGGGCCGATGGAGAGCAACAGGTGTGGGCCGATGGAGAGCAACAGGTGTGGGCCGATGGAAAGCAACAGGTGTGGGCCGATGGAGAGCAACAGGTGTGGGCCGATGGAGAGCAACAGGTGTGGGCCGATGGAGAGCAACAGGTGTGGGCCGACGTAGAGATAGTGCTGAGCTAAACCAATGAATCAATTATAACGTACGACACGACGGGTATCCTCCCTTTGACTTTAGTTCGGAGCACGGCGTTCAATCTCGAAATGGCGGGACAGACTTGGAGAGTGACAACGTCCCACAAATCAGTGGCTGAAACAACTGTCTCTCCCACGGCCCTGATAAGCCAGCCAAGGAACGTAACTGTGCGTGCGATTAATAATATAATAAGTGTCATTATTAACACCTACAAGAATGGATTTCTTTTCTTTTTTTAATATTTATTTTTATGGTACATCCAAGATTACAACAAACGATATAATTGTATTCCTATTCTATTGATCAATACAATTGATCTATTTTGCGAAAGCTTGGATACATCTTGTATGAGATGCCACACTTTTACTGCGAACTGAAGTGACTGGACGTGTCCGTAGTCCTTGACATGTGTGCGCTGAAGTGGCTGGACGTGTCCTTAGTCCTTGATATGTGTGCACTGAAGTGACTGGACGTGTCATTAGTCTTTGATATGTGTGCACTGAAGTGGCTTGTCGTGTCCTTGTTATGAAATGTGTGCACTGAAGTTGCTGGACGTGTCTTTGATATGAAATATGTGCACTGAAGAGGCTGAACGTGTCCTTGATATGAAATATGTGCACTGAAGTGGCTGGACGTGTCCTTGATATGAAATGTGTGCACTGAAGAGGCTGGACGTGTCCTTGATATGAAATGTGT